CTGGACTGTAGTAAGTTTCAGCAGCTCCACTGGGCCCACCACGCAGCCCCCCCCCCGCTGGTTCGAGCCCAGGGCCCAGATCCCCCTTGGACTTTCCATGTTGACAGAGTAGGCACCCGAATTCAGCGAGGGATGGGGGCGGCCCAAAGGAGAGGCAGCTCGGCACGGGCCCGCCTCCTCGGCCAGTCGCATATGCGTTTCTGTTCAGCTGCCGAGTCTTCCCATGCCAATCGGGACCCCACCAGCTGTTTTGATGAGGCAGACATGCACCGAGGGCTGCACACTGGCGTGTAGCAGGTTCCCTAGGTCGAGACCAAGCCGCTGGGCTGGCTGGCGTAAACTTTTAATCTCTGGGTCTGCTCAGCGCTGCGCGCCCGTCTCAGTGCCTGGGTCGGGCTCGCCAGGAAATCAGAGCCCCTCGGTTCCTCGGTTGCTGCTTTTCGAGATCCAGAGTCTGCCATGGCTTCTAGATGGCAGGAAGGAGGAGGAGGAGGAGGAGGAGCTTCTAGTTTTTCTGGATGAGCTAGAGGACCAGGCCCCGAGGGAAAACCTGGAGGCCTGCCTCAGGAAGCTTTTCGAATGCTGCATCAGGTTGAGGCCCGCCACACTCGGCAGTCTTCGAAGGGTTTTAGAGATAGGCTCCGACAGTACCTAGCAAAGGAATGCGGGGCCCTGCATTTTCACATTAAGACGTGGGGACTGGAGGCCCCGAGCCTCAGCTTAGAGCGCGACGCTGGGGGTAGAGTCTTGCGCGCTGACATGGGGCCCTTGGCGTCGAAAGCGGGGCTCCGGGGTGACCTTTGGCACTGGGGGCCGAGTGGATTTGGGCCTTCCTGGTGGGGGGACTTTCGGGCCAGGGCGTCGCGAGATGCCCAGACTCCGGAGCCCATCTTGGAACGCCAGCTTCTGGGCGCCTTTAAATGTATCAGGCCAGTCGTCGGACAAGGAGCCGGCTTCCAGAATCCCAGGGACTGGGTGCAGCTCCCGCCAGTGGCCTTGCAGGAACTGATGGGCCTCGTCCAGCACATGGAAGCAGAGCTAACCTGTCCTCCGCAAGCGAGGCTCATTATCATCCAGCACATCTTCAAAAGCGTTGCAGCGGATCGTCCGATAGCGCTCACCCAAGGCCTATACCGAATCTGGGCTAGGGCGCGTCGGCAAGATATATCGGAGTGGATGGTGGAGCGGGCGCATTGCTGCGGTCGGGCGGCGAGGGATTCGTCAGCCCTGCGGGCAGCCATTCTCCTTCAGACCCAGTGCGAGATAGCCGCCGCCATGGGTTTCAGCGGGATTCAGGTCCTGTGGGACCTGGAGAAGTTGCATGATCATGTCAACTTGCAGACGGCGGTAGGCATTGCCGCTGGAATGGGTTATCCGCCATGCCTCTGTTCCTGGCCTTAGATATGCACAGAGCTCCGAGGCGTCTCCGAGCTTCGGGAGCCATCTCAGGCGAGCTGTTCCCAGCCAGAAGTTCATTGGCAGGCTGATCTCAGAGTGTAGAGATCGCGAAGGTAACGCTCTGGGACATCCCGGAAGACGCCCATGCTCGCGTTCGGCCGCTCTCGCTTGAAACGCGGGTAGATGATCTAGGCGCGCAGGCAAGGCAGAGATCATAGTCAAGCAAGATTGCGAGGCTAGCGCAAGTTCAGGGTGCTCAGTCGCGGTCCTCAAACAACGTTTTCACTCAGCCAGTCATCGAGCCGCCATGATAAAGAGAGTCGCCAAGACCGACCGCCGTAGCAAGACTTTATCACGAACAGGGTGGCTTGCCCAGGTCCTCTGGGGGCTGGGGGCCCACGGCGCAAGTCCGACTCTGGCCATCAAGGCTAGGGCGGCCATGGCGGGCATGGTTGGGCGAAGTGAAGGGGGGGCGTGTTCCTGCGGCGCTGCGTTGCGACTTTCAAGATCCCCGCCACGATCCCGTGATATCCACAAGGGTTCGAGTTTTGAAGGAGTGGGTCCACCTGCCCCCCAGCCTGCAATAAGCTAGCCAGCATGGTCTCCGCGCCGCTCGGGGGCGGGCGGTAGCTCAACTGCAGGATCCCTCCACCCGCTGGAAGAGAGTTAACGGTTTAGTTGCAGCCAGAATTGCGCGCCTTCTGGAGGCAGGGTGGACACCGCAGGGGCCCGCTGTCTGGGCCAGTTCGGACGGCGAGGTTTTCCAAATGCTCGCGTGTGATCCAGAGCGCCTCATGCTTGATTTCTTGGAGGCGTTTGACGTTTCAACTTGGAAAAAGCCAGCGAGCGCTATCGCGGCAGCAGTCTAGCACGGCGAGCTGACATGTCTGCTCCGCTTCGGGGGTCGAGTGAGCTCAGAGCCCCGGGAGCCTGCGATCGAGCTGGAATTTTAGAAATGATCTGTTCGGGAGCCCTCTGGCCAGCCTCGAGGCGTTTTGGGGTGAGGCTCGGGGGCCCTTCCCGAGGCCGCAGGCCCCGGAGGCCCCTCGTGCGCCCAACCAAGACTCTGAGCGCGAAGCCAATCTTCTCCCTGCCCCCCCTCAGGCCCCCCGCCCTTGCCTCGGGGTCGACGAGGAAGAATGTGATGTTGATGCGACGTTGGAAGGGGCATCGCGCGCCGCAGAGGAGCTGCAGCTTCAAGAGGAGTTGCAGTGGGACCCTCTTGAGGAGGAGCCCATCACGGGGCCCAATTCCGTCTGGACCTCCCCCTCCTGCCCTCGCTGTGGGGCGCCTCAGGATACCCTCCTCCGCCAGCTCTGGACCTGCCCGCTCAACGACCCAATCCCGGGTTTGATCTCCTCCCTTCGGGCGCGCGCGGAGGCAGAGTCCGAAGCTGTCCTCTCTTTTTGGCTGCGCGGGCTTCAACCCGCGTTTGTGTCCTGATCCAGGGCGGAGAGAAGCTCTCGGCCCAGCTAGGAGGGGGCCAGCTCGAGCTCGACGACGGGCGCGTGATTGGGTCGGACGGGGCGGGGGGGAAGAGAGTTCTGATCCTCGGTTGAGGAGATGCGGCTGGGGCTTCGCCATTTTGCGCGGAGCTCAGCACGTAGCGCGGGGGCTCGGCCCCCCTGCGTTGTGACAATCAGACAGCTCCAGCCATTGCATGTCATCACCCACGTCGAGAGCGTGATTGACAATGAAGGAGTGGCCCGCGAGATTAGAGCTGGCCCCCGTTTTGAGCGTAGGAAAATGGTTATTATGTGGGGGAATTTGGGGGGGCAGTAGGTGGTCGATCCATCGCAGTGCACAAGATTGGCTCACACCTCGCGTTAGAAGATGCAGGTGACCTCGGTCTTGACCTTGTCCACTGTCAGGCGAACCGCCTGGCGGATAAGGCTGCAGAGGAAGGGGCCGGGAGCGCCCGAAATCCCTTCCATGCGAGGCGTCAAGTTGCCGAGGTAGATACTTTGTGTAGTGAAGTGTTGGACTCCCTTTTGGCGGTTTCGATGGCCCTAGCCCAGCGGGCCCCGACCTCGTGCGGAGCCACGGCCAAGGGCAGCCGCCAGGAGGAGGCGAATATTTCCCTTGCCCGCTCGCGCCAAGAAAGACAGTCCAGTCTGGCCTTGCTTGTCGAACAGTCGGCGCACTCAGTGGAGCAGAAGGCCCGAGGATGTTTGCGCTGTGCTGTTTGTTGCCAGTCCGACCGAGGGGAGAGAGAGAGAGAGAGAGAGAGAGAGAAAGACTTTCCTCCGATCGGCCTGCCCTGGCTTTCCTGACACGATCCACCCCGCCCATAGGTTGGAAACTTACATAAGGGGTTTACTGGTGCCAGATCTGTGGAGGCTCAGGCGTTCCCTCGAGAGGCAAGTTGCTGGAGCTCGGGAGGACACGCAAGCCTGGCCTCACAGACCATGGACGGAGGTGGGGAGGGCGCTGCTGGATGGGAAGTTCTATCCTGATCTCAAGGCTTGGCCTGAATGACCTGGGCCACCTCTTGCCGTGGCCTCAGGTTTCAGATGTCGCCCCTGGTTCCTGAGGTGACAGGATCTGACGGAGGTGGCTCAGGATGTGTCACTTTCTTCTTTTAGCGGGGTGCACCAATGGACCTTTCCTTTCCCCCAAGGCAGGCAAGAGGCAAGAGAAGGAGAGAGGAGGATGGGGGAAAGGGGGGAGGAGGAGGAGGAGGAGGAGGAGGAGGAGGAGGAGGAGGAGGAGGAGGAGGAGGAGGAATAATGATGAGGAGGAGGTGGATGTGTAGGTCGGTAGGTCGGTAGGTAGGTAGGCATCAGGAGGAGGAGGAGGAGGAGGAGGAAAAGGAGGAGGAGGAGCAGCTGGAGGTCAGAGTGAGGGGGCCGAACGGTCATTCATTGTCCTTGGGTGCGTGGCTCTAGTGGGGATCCATGGTGAGAGTTCTGTTTGTTCTGCTTGTTGTTGTTGTTGCTGCTGTTGTTGTTGTTGCTGTCGTTGTTGTTGTTGTTGCTGCTGTTGTTGTTGCTGCTGCTGCTGCTGCTGTTGTTGTTGTTGTTGTTGTTGTTGTTGTTGTTGTTGTTGTTGTTGTTGTTGTTGTTGTTGTTCTTGTTGTTGTTGTTTGTTGTCGTCGTCCCCCCTGCGACCCACTCCGCGGCGACCCACCCGCGACCCACCTGGCGCCCCACCCCGCGACCCACCCCGTGACCCACCCCGCGTCTCACCCCGCGACCCGCCCGCGACCCACCCGCGGCCCACCCGGCGACCCAGCCCGCGGCCCGCCCGCGACCCGGCCCGCGACCCACCCGCGACCCAACCGCGATCCGCACCGCGATCCACCCATAATGCTTTAACGACAAAGTCGGCGCCCGCGGCGGGCTCAATGCATAATTTGTAAAATGTGGGCGCCTGCGGCGGGCTTCTCCAGAACCTCGCAGACGGAGGACGTCCTCGCAGCCCCCCTCACTAATCCGCAACTGCGCGGTGTTACGCAGGTAGGAGGAGGAGGGAGGAGGGATGCGGTGGAGGGTTCTGAGTGCTTGGGGAGGCCGAGTGGCCTGCCTCGTTCGCGCGCATCTGGGCGCTGTCCCTGCCAGCTTCGAGGCCCGCTGTTGAAAACAAAAGAGGGCGGCTGCGAGGCTGGGACTCGAGCAGGCGGGCGCCAAGCTGGGGGACGACGATGACGATGATGGTGGTGGTGACGGTGATCATGGTGACGGTGATCATGGTGACGGTGATAGTGATACTGAAAATGGTTACGATGATGCTGTTGCTGATGATGCTAATGGTGATTATGCTGACAATGAATATTGCAAGGGCGATGGCGATGGCAATCATGATGCTGCTGCTGCTGATACTACTGTTTCTGCTGCTGGTGGTGTTGCTGCTGATGGTGAGGCTGATGATGCCCATGTTGTTGATGATGGTGATGCCAGTGATGATAATCAGGATAATGCTGATGATGGTGTTGCTGGTTATGATGATGCTGGCGCTGACGAAGATGATGATGCTGATGATGGTGATGATGATAATATGTGGTGACGGTGATGGTTATGCTGATGATGGTGATGCTGATGATGGTGATGATGGTGGTGATGGTGATGGTGATGATGCTGATGATGATGCTGATGACGATGATGATGACGATGACGATGATGATGATGATGATGATGATGATGATGATGATGATGATGATGATGATGACGATGCTGATGATGATGATGATGATGATGATGATGATGATGATGATGATGCTGATGCTGATGCTGATGCTGATGCTGCTGATGATGGTAATGATCATCATCATCATGTGGTGGCGGTGATGGTGATTGTGATGGCGATGGCGATTACGATGATCATGATGGCGAGGTTGATGCTGTTCATCAGGATGGTTATTCGGATTTTGCAGCGGACCGTGTCCGTATGATTGCATAGGCGTAAACACCCAATGGGCCTCCCTGAAGCACGCGTGCGGAAAGACTTGCGCCCTCTGAGCCAACGGCGATGGTGCTCATCACAATTACGATGGAGGAGAAGAAGATGGTGAAAGTGAAGTACCCGAACTCTGGGGTAACCCCACATAGGTAGGACATCAAACTCCAGTGTCACGACCATCCTGCGGAGGGTCGTGGTCCAGAGGATGTAGCCTTTCAGCCATGTCGGTACCCAGGACAACCAGCGCCATCTCGACGGCGGCGGTCAGCTTGGTCGCACGCTCAGTGGGGCTCTGGGAGTTGGAGTAGCACACCCACCCCGACTTGCTAAGAACCCTCGGTGCAGTAGACCACCAGTGACGGGGTAATCCATATCTTCTGGCAATACCAGCACGTGAAAAATGATACGTTGGGCACTCCGCCCAGTAGTGTCGAAACGAGGGGATGCCGCCCCGCACTGCCGGCAAGCCTTCCCCGAGCAGCGTCGCGTCTCCGAGGATACAGCTTCTGCACGAAATATACGTACAAGCCTGCGATCATCCACTCCCAGGCGCTTGAAGAAATGTTTGTACACCATATTCGACTCCGCATCCACGTCAACGTCGAGGATCTCTTCAGCATCGAACCGTTTATCATTGACCTCAGCCAAACATCTGATCCTTGCCACACAGCGCAAAAGATACTCGACCTTCTTCTCATGGCGTGGGTGATCTGGCCTGCGGATCCAGAACCTCCTCTGGCGATCCATAATACCTTCCAGCACCCGCACCACTCTATGGTCGTCAGTGTCATTCACCTCGATGCAGCAACCACGGCGATCCGCGTAAGCAATATAGCGAAGGCCCAGCACCTGGGCATGCATGATCATCGCATTCTCCAGGAAAGTCGACCACACAAGGCGCTCCTGCGAGACAGTTTGAAAGCCTGCAGGGATCCCGACAGGCGGGGGTGTAGATGAACATGAGGGTGCGCCGCTGGATCTCCCCACAAGGGGGGGGGTGGTAGGACCCTCCCCCCCCCCCTTCCCCGATCCGTCGTCGGGGACCCCCCCCCTTCCCTCCCCCCCCTTCCCCGATCCGTCGTCGGGGACCCCCCCCCTTTCCCCGACCCGTCGTCGGGGACCCCCCCCCCCTCCCATCCTTTCGAAAGGGGGGGGGGTCCAAACCCCCTCCTCCTCCCCCCCTTTCGCCACGCCGCCCCCTGATTCCGGAACCCGACCCCCGCCACCCCTACCCCTAGTCCTCACCCAAACCCAAACCCCCAATCCTAACCCCAACCAGTAACCCCAGCCCCAAAGAGTACTCACTACTCATTACTCACTACCCACTACTGACTACTCGCTATTCGCTACTCACTTCGCACTACCCCCTACTCACTACTCGCGACGCACTACTCACTATCCACTACTCACTACCCACCACCCACTACTCGCTACTCACTACCCCCTACTCACAACTCCCTCTTCACTACTCACTACTCACTCCTCACTACCCACTACTCACTACTCACTAAGCACTACTCACTACTCCCTACTCACTACTCACTTAATCACTACTCATTACCCACTGCCCACTATCCACTACTCACTACGAACTACTCATTGCCCAAGAATCACTACTCACTACCCACTACTCGCTACTCGCTACTCACTACTCCCTACACAGTACTGACTACACAGTACTCAGTACTCACTACTCGCTACTCCCGTACTTGCTACTCAATACTCACTACTCACTCCCCGCTACTCACTACTTTCTACTCCCTACTCACTAGTCACTACATAGTCTATAGTCACTAGTCACAACTCACTAGTCACTACTCACTACCCACTACCCACGCCTCACCAATCGCTACTCACTACCCATTATTCGCTACCCACTTCTTACTACTCAATGCCCACCTACTCCCTACGCCCTACTCCCTACTCACTACCCACTACTCGCTACTCCGTACTCGTTACTCACTAATCACTACCCACTACTCACTACTGACTACTCCCTACTCACTACTCTCTACTCACTACGCCCTACTCGCTCCTCACTACTCACTACTCGCTACTCCCTACTCGCTACTCACTACTCACTACCCACTGTCACTACCCACTTACTCTCTGTTTATCACTACTCACTTCGCACTACGTACTACTCAATACTCACTACTTACTACTCACTACTCACTACCCGCTACTCACTACGCACTACTCACTAATCACTAATCACTACGCACTACGCACTACCCACTCCTTACTACTCACTATTCACTACTCGCCACCCACTACTCACTACGCAGTAACTCACTACCCACTACTCATTACTCCCTACTCCCTACTCAGTATTCACTACTCGCTACTTGCTACTCACTACTCACTACTCGCCACTCACTATTCATTTATCAGTACACACTACTCACTGTTCACTACTCCCTACTCCCCACTCCCTACTCCCTACTCGCTCACTACTCACTACGCACTAACTCGCTACTCACTACTCACCACTCCCTACTCCCAACTCCGTACTTCCTACACGGGGGGGGGGTCCGAACCCCCCCCCCCCTTTCCAACGCCAAGGGGGGGGGGGGGGGGTCCGGACCCCCCCCCCTTCAAGGGAGGGGGGAGGGTCGGGACCCCCCCCCCTTCCCTTAAGGGGGGAGGGGGGGGGGGGTTCCGGACCCCCCAGGGGGGGTTCTGGACGCCCCCCCCCCTTAGTGTATTCAGGGAGATCCACTGGCGCACTTTCCATTTCGTCCGTAGCACCACCATCGATTGGTCGACCTGGTAATCGATCGATGCAGAGATCTGCACGTCGAAACAGGAGGCGGCGCCACCAGCGGGCAAGCCCACAACCACAGCGGGCGAAAATATGCAACTGCGAGCCGAGCGCGGATCTCCGCACCTCCAGGCACTGTCCCGAGTACTCGGATCGCTGTATGAAGTTTGTCCCAACCCCCTCGAGGCTGGATTGGTCGCGATGCACCCGCTGGAGTCGCCACGATCCCAAGGTGTTCCACAGCCGTAGGAGGTTGATCGGAGCGAGCCCACAACTGGCGCTCGCGCAGATTCTCCTTGAAACCGACGTCCCTGTCGAAGCGTTGGGTGTAGTCCAAGTCCCTGGCCAGCTTTTGGGCCGAGGTGGACGTGAGGGATCTGTCGTCCATGAAAGCGTAGCCAACAGGCGGTTGCCACGGCACCAATGCCGCAATCATCGTAGCAGGGGCCACCGAGTTACCCTGAGGAAGCCCTCGGGTAGGCCAGATCGGTGGCGCCAGGGAGGAATTGACACTGCAATATCTGGGGGCTCTCAAGGCCGCCACCGCAGTAAACGTGACCGCAGGCGGGGCCCTTGAACAGATGCATGCTTGAGCTCCCACGGCGTGATCAATATTGTCATATGCTCTGCTGAGATCCACCTCGGCACCTGCCTCAGCGGCTTCACATGAGTGTAACCAGCTGCTGATCACATGGACCACGCTCGTCGCAATTCGTCCTGCGTACTGATTGTCTGGAGGCTGTGGCATTCCAGCAGACAAGGCCGATAACAAAGCTCTGACCAGGATCGAGCCCATTGAAATATGACGAAGTTCAACTTCACTTTTTTGGGGAATTCCCACAACACGCCAGGGGAAGATCATGTCAAGCGTGTCGTGGTCCAGGATGTCCTGGGCGTCCACGCACTCGCGGCTGGTGTCGCACCAGTGCTCGTGCAACTGGACAATCATGTCGGGGAAGAGGCGTCGTAGTAGCTTGAGCTCCATGGCCGTCCATACGTCCAGCCCAGGAGCACCATGGCACTTCGCAAGGATCTTATCAAACTGCTCAAAGCTCGGCAGCCAATGCTCCTCCTGCGTAGATTGAGGGAAGGAGACATCAGCAGCCCATTTTTGCCACCGTACAAAGTGGCCAGCAGCGTCATGTTGAGCAGGATCGGGGGCCCATTGCTGTTCCCACTCCTGATGCATACCCAATGCGTCCGCTGGGGCAGTGGGCGAGGACGCCCTGAAGAGCGGTGTGGCGCGCTTGTAGATGTCTTCAGTCCAACTGGCGAAACGCTTCCGCCACTCACGATATTGAGCGTCTTGAATGCGTCGTTGTTGCTGGGCGATGCCAGCGCTCAGCAGGTCCAGGGCCTCAACATGGCTCGGGATCCCGCAGAGCGGTACTGCGAACAGTCCCTCCCGCCCTGCCCGTGCGAAATGTTCCAGAAGAGGGCCGGCCAGATTCTGGAA